CTTGATTTACATCTCGAACAAAAACAGTTTCATTAGATGCTGAGATTGAGGTGTCGAAATGAATAGAAAATATAGGCAGATGGTCAGAAATGTCAGTGAAAAACAGTCCACTCCTGGATCTATCGAAAAATTGGTTGACGAAAATGTTGTCAATTAAAGTTGCCGAATGACAAGTTATTCTTGTAGGGCGCGTACAGTATGTTGCCCAATATCCGGACACTTCAGTTTAACATTGCAATAACTTTCCTTTGTTAGTCGCAAGAGCCCTGAAATTTGGCCCAGAGAAAATCTATTTAGTCCTTAATATGACGAAAGACAGTTTAACTTTTTTGCCTATGTTTTCAAGGCGAAATTAATATTTTTGCAGAGCTCCTATGTTGCCCAGTATCCGGACAGCTGGCCCAGTATCCGGACACAACAATAACAACGTAATTGTACATAAATTTCGACAGGCAAGCGACTTATAAGCTTCTCTTGCTCTTGCAAAGTAGTCTGGCAATCGATTTCAAAAATATAACCTTGCATCGTGAAATAAAACATAACAAATGACTGGGGTATGGTGGGGAACGCGAGCCGGGTTGTTAAATGGCATAATTCTTACTTCCTTGTCTATGAACTTTTTCACTGATTTAAGGAAGACATCCGTGGACATGCCGAAGCCGCGGTTTGCTAGCTCAATTAGCCAATCTGCAAACGACTTTTTTTCTTCATTTTTTATTTTTAAAAAAAGCTTGGGGAAGGGACCTCAATGCGACGGTCAAAGGTCACTTTCCTATTTAGTTCTGACCTGCAGTGTTGATTTCTTCATGCTCAGCCCCTACAGACCCTACAATAAGCCTGCTTTTCTAGCACTAATTCCTCCTTCTTTCACATCTCTCAATCCCTTTGAGACATTTTCAGACCGTTGCAACCCCATTCTAGCAGTCACAGTGGGGAAAGTATGAGAATTCCAGGTTCAACTCCGACGCTTTCGGTTATATATAGAAAATGCAGTCACGCGAAACAAGCGGCGCACACGAAATCAAGTCGCCTCCGAATGAGTGAAGGAAATTTCCGTACGGAGTTGAGTAGAATTACATTTTACGACTATATCATGTATCCTAAGCTTAAATTATAGTTATAGATATGAAATAAATCTTTTCCGGATAATGTACGCAGCTAATTCATCGATTCTGTACAGCAAAGAAAAAACTGTCCGGATACTGGGCTCCTGACATCAATACTTAGTGAATGTTTCTGGGCTCCGTTATTCCAAACAAATCGAATTTCAAGAAGAATTAATAAACTTTCTGAGAACCTGACTTCTTTTAGTATCTTCAGTTTAAATATAAAACCGTTTCTTTGAAAATATTATTTATTACCTACCCTTTTCTGAGCAGCACTAATTTTACTGCGCAGTAAACAGCGTAAATATTAGCCATGAAATGTTTATTCACCTGAACAGAACGGCGTCTTTTGTGACTGTTTCGCAAGCTTTCAACTAGCCAAAACTTTCATCTTAAAGCCGAAATGTTCAGCTTTCATTCGAAATACTTTGTTTACCGATAACTGAAAAGGGCGCCTCAAAAATTGAGTTTTTGTTTTAAGTGTCCGGATACTGGTACCGTCCGGATACTGGGCAACATACTGTAATCAATGGAAAGAACATATTTGAATATAGCGCATCTGAAAATTCACCAGTAACGGAATGACATTGGTGGTTCATTAGATTTAAGTTAAAGTCACCCATTAAATAACATACCTTATTTTCTTTTGAAATCTTACTTAATAGCTCATTGGTCATTGTTAAAAATTCATCAACGTTTTGGTTTGGCGGCCTGTAAATCACACCAGTAACAATGTGGGGCTTAACAATTTCAATAAACAAAGATTCTGCGACGTTTGGCAACGAAAAATCAAGATCGCATCGAAATTTAAAATTCAAATTGCTAGAAACATACAGACCAACACCACCACCGGATCTATTTCCCTACTTTTATGAACAAAACTGTAACCGTCGATGTCAACTGACGGCGACGAATCATTTAGCCAAGTTTCGGAAATACCAATCAAAGAGAATTTTAAATTTACGTTAGATAAAAGATCCGTTAATTTGCTAGCATTACATTGTAGGCTACGAATGTTTAGATGCAGTAGAGAAAAGCTGTCACAAATACGCGAATCTTCACTAGATAGCATGTCATTAAATTGATCTTCAATAAACTATTCGCAGTCATTGCTAAATAAATCCCTGAGGTTGGTGTCAGGGTCAAGGTCAAATGAACGAGCTAGATTTGTTCTAATATTGTGGAGTAAAGGATTGAAACTTAAACTAGCCAATCTATCAGCATCATAGCGAACAGGACCATTTTGCATTTCATAAATTGTTAGGTTGAAGTCGGCGTCATCAAGGTCGTTAAAGGGAAATGAAAATTCCGGAAAGACAGACATTTTCAATGTGGGGGAAAAGAAAATTAAAAAAAAAAAAAAAAAAAAAAAAAAAAAAAAAAGATGAAAAAACAGGGGGAAAAATAGCAGTAAGAAATAAATAACTTAGCTGTTCTCGACATTAGGTCTGTCTCTAATAACCAGTTTATCTAACACAAAATAAGCGATCTTCCCTGCTCTCTTGGCTGCTTCCATCTTTGCACGTTGCCTTTCTCTTTTCTCAAGGGTTGCTGGAGATAGGTCCTCTTTCACAAATATATTGTCGGGTTTAATTCTTCGGGCACATTTCAGGATCGTTTCCCTCTCTTTCTAGTTACGAAGGCGACAAACAATGGTTCGAGGACGACTTGCAGAATTCTAGGCCGAAGCTGGCCTACGAGAACTTTTACCCACGCGATGCGCTCTCTCAATGTCAGGAGCACTGGCGAGATTCAATTCGTCTTTCAAAACTTGCTTTACTTTAGCTTCAGTTTCTTCCCACGTTTCGTTATCCTCTTCGGGAATGCCATCGACTCTGACATTATTTCGCCTACTCTGATTTTCTAAATACTCCATTTGTTCTTCTTGATGGTCCAAGTCGTCTTGAATTTCTTCAATGGCGGAGTCCAGTTCATGTAATTTAAGTAATGATGGTTTCAAGTCATCGATGTCCTTTTGCGAAAACTCAAGGCTGTTTTTCAGATCACCCGTTTCCTCTTCCGAACTAGCAATTCTTGCTTTTAACTCGGCTGCTGAATGAGTTAAAGAGTCGAGGCGAGTGTTCACGTTAGTTACGATCGAGTCAAAGAAGCTCTTGAACATTCTTTCCTGCATCTGTAACATCTCGCGAAGCGTTGCCAGTGTTACAAACTCTCCTTGAATATTTACTTCAGCCGCCAAAGAACTAACTGAGGCTTTCGAATGACTTGTATCGGGCATATTTTGGACTAAAATTTTCGTTGATTTCGATCTTGGCCAGAGCAATCAAATCCTGCGTCCGCACACTACGCGTGCACGTGCATGCATGTTATTGTTTTTGGGAAAACCTCTCTTTCTGCCAGTTCATTCTCGTCAGGCTTCAATTGTGATCTGCGTTAAAATTTTCAAACACTGACTAAAATTCTCTTCCTCGGTAAGGTTAAGATTCAGTTTCTATATCAGCTTCGTTCTCAATAAAACAAAGCTAGGTTAAAATTTGGAAAGGCAAAGTCAACATCCCAGTCCTCAGGGTTTACAGACGTATTTTAAAGTTTATTCGGTCAAAACTAAGAGCACTGTAAGTATTCTTTCATTAGTGTGACGCTGGAGTCTTTTGAAAACTGGACATTGTGACTGGCTCGAACTCGCTTCTATTTTTCTTTCGCTGGTCTTTGAAAAAACACTGCAAATGGCAAAGAAGCTTGTCAAGATGATCGGGTGCAGGTATGTTTGCCATGATATTTGTCGAAGGAATTACTCATTTTCTCTTAGGTAAAACATCTCGAATCTCTGCCAGTAGATTGTCGTCTTCTTAACTGTGTACTGCGATAAAATTTTCAAACGCTGACTAGAATCCTTTTCGATAAGATTACAAGTTAGTTTCTTCATCGCCTTCGTTCACAAATAAACACAGTTTAAAATGTTGAAGGCCACAGTCAACATCCAAGTCCTCAAGGATGACAGGCGTCTTATAACCTTATTTAAACCTTTTTTCCGAGGTAAAGAGATTTAGAGCTCCGAAATGAGCATTTTCTTTAAAAATTTTGGTCCGTATAGCAAGTTACGGACCGCAAATTGACCAATCGCATGGCGAAAACAGACTCAGCCATATAATAATAGTGATTTAGTTTTTCAAACCCGCACCATTTTCTTAAAATGAGTCAGTTCGTAGCTGGTCACGTGACCAAAATGTGATTATTAAAACTATGAATTACCTCTTTCTGAACCGAAATTTTGCCCTTAAACTCCAAGGAAATTGTTGAAAAGATGATGTGGTAACGTTTTCAGAACATCTGAGCGTAACTATCGAACGTTTAACAAGATACAAGCAAAAAGTAGTTTTGGCCGCCATGGTAGAGGGCAAGAGTATGCTCCTCCCGAGCGTTGCGTGACGACACTAAAAACGGCTGTGTAGCAGACTATCCAACATGGCGGCCAATACAAATCATATTACTTTGTTGAAAGCTCAAAGTGCCATAAAATATCTCGCTTAAACTCGTTTCTTTTCAATTTTGGGTGTAAGATAATTGTTTTGCCCTCCGTCAATTTTTGGCATCAGCAAGATTGCAACTCATTGGTTAGAGGAAGCATTGGTCACGTGACCTCTTAGTGCAAGTGGCCTATTCATATCGGTTTACACACAGAATGCCGGCCCAACCTAACCTGAAAACCTTTCAAAGGACTTGAGTGGACCGTCTATACGGTGGACGTATAGCAGAGGCAACTCAGTTAAAACAAACAAATTATTCAACACGCCTACCATTTCCATTCTGCTAAAAGGAACATGTTTCATGAAGATTTCCACTGGGTCAATAGCATCCAGTCCACCGAAATTCCTTCTAATAGCTTGTTCAATTTCTGTCCAACGTGGCTCTCGTCCATGCTCCTCAGCTGTTTTATACACCATCTTTACCAAGCTAAAATTAATTGTGGGGAAAAAATGATTCAACCGACGCTTGTTTTATCTGAACATTAACGTCCTGTTTTTAGCTCGTGATAATCTGAACATTTTTGACCCAGTTTAATTTCGAATTTCCTACGCTGTAACCATGATCAGGGATAAAATATCCAACGAGTTTGAAAACTGTCAAACTGAGAAAAAAGAATTCCTGACATATAACAACTACATGAAAGAAATAGGCCATTCTTGCAAGCTTCAAAGCACTTAAGTTTTGTTTCAAAATAACACCAAGTGTAAAACTTTGCCGGGACAATGGGTCAATTTCTGTGAGAAAGACTTCGCAGATAAAAGACAGAGAACACTGTAGCTGTTTTCAATAAACCTGTATAAGTTTAGCTGATATACAGCTGTATAAGCTGATCCAGACGCCGGCGATAAGAAAAGTTGGAAAGAGGCGATTTTGACGAAAATGGCGAATAAGACGAAAATTCGCCAAAGCCTTTGGAACAAGTGAAATTAAAAATGATCAAGGGTCCCCTTTGAGATTGGCGATTTTGACGAAAATGGCAAATTTGGCAAAAACTGTGAAAATGGCGAAATTCGCCATAGTAATATGAACAAGTCAAATGATATGGCAAGGGGGCGCCGTCCAAAGTAGCGATTTTGACGATAACGGCCAATTTGACGAAAATAGCAAATATGGCGAAAATTCGCCAAAGTATGATTTTCAAGACAAATGAGATGGCAAAGGTGCCCTGGAAAAAGGCAATTTTGACGAAAATGGCGAATTTGGCGAAAATTCGCTTATGTGATTTTTTGCAGATTCGACATTGCGTGAATTTCTAGACATAACTGCACAGTGGACTGATTAATGGAAGAGCACTGTTATTTCCGAAATTCCAATACTCTCAAAAGGATCTTGAGGAGACTGTAAGAACAGCTTAAAATAAGCTGGAACTGACACATTAAACTGCATTTGAACATCCCTACCTGTAGAAATCACGAAGCCCAAAGAATTCCTCCTTTTTAGACTCCCGAAGAGCTTCTGACCGTTTCTGTCTATCGTATAACTCACTGTAACCCTGGGCCAGTCGATTCATAAGTGGAGCAACAAAGTTTTGAACTCTTACATCAGTTGCACATATGCCCCTAAGTAACATAAAGAAGATGGATCACGCTCGTTAAACTATCTAATTACAACTACATCAAATTAGGGTGGAAACACTTTACACCACCCATCCTTGAAAAGCTGTATATCTTTTTATTGAACCTAAAACTAGCAGTAGCCGTTGGCTTGGAAGTGCGGGCGAAACCGCTTTCATATGTAGGTGAATGCCTTTCACTGCGGGTTCATCAAAACTGGATTGAACAACACAGTAAAAAGACTCATATAATAATTATTTAATTCAACGATTTTATTTGCAGTTGATTAGATACAATTAGCCCGCAATATTTCTGGAGCGATCAGCGAGATAGGACGTTGTATTTTATTCTCCGGCAAAGATACATTAAAACAGTAATGCGTGACACAAGTAATGCTGGTATGCAGTCATGCACGAAGTCTTGTTATTCAATCGAATATTCAATCCGTGTTCAATGACCAAAGTTCGTTGATATGCAACACAAAATAATGAAACACTGGAGTTTAAAGCTTATTAAAGCTTTCGGATGACAGGCGACGTACCATGCTTGAAAACGTATAAAAATATAAAAACCCTGAAAAACCATCCATTGTCGTGAAACCTGAATAAACTTCATAATTTACATCGATTTCTAGACTTTCCTAGCACTCGTATCTCACCGAAAACTTGTCCCACACTAAGCTGAGATCAGGCTCTACTTCTATTTTCCTGGGTAAATAGATTCCAGGCCGGCAAGGCGAATCAAAAAGTCTCCCATTTAGTGCAGTACTTGTGTACCTGAATTACCTGTGCTTGCGAATCGAATGTGTGATAATGATTGTTGCATCACTTGCATGTGCATTCACGTGATTACTGTGACATCCGACGGACCTTGAACTCAACACCAGGACCTTCGAGGCTACATACCATTCATACCATGCATATTAGTCGGTGCAATACGGGAATGTGAACAGATCGAGAGAAAATCCGGCTATACAGTTAAAAGAGCACCGCTGACCAAGAATTGGTGGCGGGCTCCTTTTGTCGCCCGCAAACATATTTCCTCCTCAAAAAGTGTCTTTCTCATTTAAGGTTGAACCAAACCGGTCTGCCCTCAATAAAGTCAACATTTAGCTGATGGTCAATTTTTATTAAGCGGGACATCTAGTGTGAAAATATCAGTAACAAAGAAATGGTCCGGTTTTGTGTATCTGGTAAAAAGTGTTCACTCTGGTCTGCATCTCCCTAGGTCTCTATCTTTATGGGTCCCTATAACCTGCAGCTCCTATTGTTAGCCGGAGTAGGGGCGTTGTCAGGGACGTTTATCAATTGTTTTGTGAAACTAAAGCGAACAATTTAGTGAGCCTTCCTTTACTTATGAATACCATTTTTAGTCCCAAACCAGAGGAGAACTTACATTGCAATTTCCACTAGCTCCTCTGTGTCTGGAAGCCCACGAGAAAGCATGATACCGCGATTCATCTTTGCAGGATCAAGGGCCCAGTTGGATATCCCAACAAAGGCTACTCTTTCAGGAAACTTTTCTTCCACCTCTACGATGCCATCAGCGGCGGAACTTAAGCCATCCTCCAGCAGTGGATGGAGCGTTTTAAGAGGCATTAGAGGTGAGTCTTCAGCCAGGCCAACTTCATCTAAGACCACAACTGACACGAACTTGTCTGGGTTCTTGCCTCTTTGGAGCTTGCTGCATTGACGGAAAGTCGCAACGATCCCCTCAGCAGTTGAGAGAGGGCTGCATTGATAAGACACCATATGAACCTTGTGGAACACAAAATTAGCATACATGAATAACAAACCTAAGAACACGATGAACAACCTGAATACAATACAATTCAATACAACACAATACTGTGATTAAATCAAACGAAGAAGACATTAAGAAAAATAGTCCTGCGGTGATCTTTCCTCTCCTCATCTTTGTCGTTCTCATAAAGGATACTAACCACTCTATCACATTTGTTTGATAGATTCTAACAATTGCAATACAATAACAAAAATTCGTAATCGTTGGCACATTGGCTTCACCTGCTTAAAGGTCTTAAAAAGGTCAGATCTTGAAGCACCTCCTTCCATGTTATCAGCCACAACGGTCTTGGCTAAAGATTTAGAGCTGCCTGGTTTACCAACCACAAACAAAGGAATCCTGAGTTCAATGCACACCACCATCATAAACACATTCTCACTAAGTGCTGTGTTACGTGCGATATTTTGACCCAGTTCTAGCTCTTTCAGCACTGCTTTTTGGCATCTGATGACGAAAAAAGAAGGTCCGTAAACCAAGTAAACATGCATTGATAAAATCAACACCAACCTGATTTACTTTGTAACCCAGCTTGGTCGCAAAGGTTCTATATTTATTTCTAGCTTTTCTTACACGGTTTCTCTACGTATTCATGTCTAAGAATCCCTCAAGATACCAATGAAAAACGTATTCACTTAAGCTACTGCAAATTGCTGGAGACACCGCAGCCTATCGTGAACATATCACCTTTGGGTGTAACGACCTAAATGACAACTCGGTTAAAGGTTTTTTTTATCATCTGATGTGGCAGCAAATAAGAAGTTATTGCTTCTAAAAAAAAGAATTGCTAGTGTGGTCTACCGTGTAATTTCCTGCAAAATTCGCTCATGTCCACCTGGTAGTTGGTATGGACGGGAAAAGCTAGGAGCCACTGCACGCCGATAAGGTTTTCTCTCTTGAAGTCTTGCATGGTAACACACTCCAATTGAAAGCACCAGGGCACGTGACACGTCATCAATGGGCTACAAAGAAAATTGAGGGGGATATTTGTGACAAGTGCAGAGTCATGCCATTCTGAAAACCACATTTTTCTTTACCGCACGTATGCTTTACTTAATGAAAAAGATATTCTCAAATGAGCAAAATATTTTTTTATTCCATTATGTCTGTCAAGAACATACTTATTTAGTATGCAATTCTGTCTATTTGTCTTCAAAGGACAAATCTCCTTTACCTTATCCAAATCATCCTGTTCATCTTCCTCGTCAATTTTTTCATCCATTAGAGGATTAAGAGCATCGCGATGGTTGTAGAACCAGACCATCACTCTCATTGCACGTTCTACATCTCGAAGGCTCACAAAGCTACACTCATCCTACAAAAGTGAGTATTGCAAGACAAGAATTTCTTCCAGAGTTCTTACTGGCGTGGATGGAAAGGGCATAAAGTAGTACAACACATTGATATCAGCTGTAATGTGATAAATAAAATTAGGTGCCATCGGAGAAGTAGCATGTAAGAGAGAATACCATTTTACAGTTGTTAAGCTTAGTATCCTTGCCTTTGAGTGAAAGTGAGGCTGAGACTGACCTTGTTTTGATACAAACCTCCCTCCTTTTCTCATGGAAAGTGTGCTTAAAAATGCTAGTTTGCATAAAAACACTTTTACATAATAAAGCAAGAAGGCTCGTATAAAAGCAAGGTTATCTCCAGCCTCGTTTCCATCTGTAAGTGTAAAATGGACTATTAAGAGTAAACAAAAAAATACAGTCAGGCAAGAATTCTCAAACTGGCTGTACTGTTGAAAAAGGTCTAAATTTTTCGTTAAGTTCATACAAAATGGACAAGGAGATGCACAAAAAACACAACAAAAGCACTATTTTTTACCGTCTGATCTCTCATGTAACGCTGAGAAGCAGTTAGTACTCTCGTCAGAGCCCTGACCAAAGGCTCACCGCCTGGAATCTGTTTTTCTTGAAGGATCTTACACGAAATAGAACACCACATCAAGAGAATTATTCAATAGCACAAATATGAAATAAGTGGCACTGTAAAATAGCTATGCGATGTTCATGTCGACAGCGACAACTGACACTGACTAAGACGTTTTCAAGAATTGCTGCTTAAAAATCGATTCTTCCATAGAATGTATAAAGTGTTATAGCATGAGAAATCAGCCGACATTTCGCGACGCCACCGCTAGTTTCCTCGCGAAATGACGTCTGAGAAACGAGCGCAGAAATTCCACACTGATAACCTGGTCGTTACCCATATCTGGGAAGTGCTTCTGGTTGGTCGTGCCGCGAGGGAAATTTACTTCAACCAATCAGGAGCACTACCTAGACCTGGGTAGTGACACGTCATCAGTATGGAATTTCTGCACTTGTTCCTTAGACGTCAGTTCGCGGCGAAACCAGTGATGGCCTCTCGCGAAATGTCGGCTGTATTCTCAAGCAAACATTTTTGTGTCAAAAAGTCGGCAGGAAAAATGTCATGGGACACAAAGGTACACATTTTAGTTATTTGCCAACACACTGTAAGACGCTATCTCTCACACCATTATAGCAGAGCTCCAGGCGGCGCGAAGCGCGTGGGCGGAGCCCCATAGCTAAGGAAATGTGGTAATCTACCCATCCGCGAAAACTTGGTAATCACGTGACCGTACACCGACTGACCGACCGCCCGCGCGACCGTCTGTCCGCACCACAGGGTAACCAATGTTTACTCTCACACTTTCTAGCTAGTTTGGGATGCTAAGAGAAAACTAATTGCGCATCAATGTTGTTATCAATTGACAGTTGTCAAAACAGGGTATCCGCTGACCACTATCACCTGACTGTACCATGGGCTCAAATGTCCACCCGTCGAGGTCGAGTATTTTTTGAAGTTATCTGCTGACAGACTACTAGTTTCAAATGATCGCAGGCTCAAGTTTATTTTTTCCAATGATTCATATCAAATATGTTGTGTTTATGGCACGATGGCCACGCACTATTAGGACTGTGATTTCTAACTGACCTCGGACGCTAAAATTCAGCCAGTTTTTTTAAGAACACAGGCGGGAAAGGCCTTTTCTTACCATGGTCACGCGTTGGTCACGCTCTACGTCCAGTTTTTATGCTCTGATTGGTCAAGATGTCTGATTGGTGAGTTCATGCGGAAAATTCATGCAGCATCTTGAAAATTGTTTACTTTGGCAGCTGAAGCTGACAGAGTTTTGTTTCAACTTGTGATGTTTTTAACTGTCTTTTCCCTCTGGATGTACAAAATGAAATACAGCTGCTATAAAGAGTCTTCTGTTTATTCATGGCTGGTTTGTTTACTGGGTTTTTGGTTGAGAAATGCGTCGCTTGTCAAATTCGGTAATTCGATTTCGGATGGCATCGTTTTCGTTTTTCACCTTGCTTAATGCGTAAGAGGGTTTAAAGGTCTCAAGCAACTGTGGCCTTCCTAGACAGCTTTCAGGAACTGAATCTCGAATGGTAAGCCTGAGTAATTATTGTATTTGATGTTTGTTTTTGTTATATCTAATTTCATGAAGTCGAGCACAGTTTTTGCGGCAAGTTTATGCACGTTTGTAGGATTTGAATCAATGATCTGACCTAGTATCAGGTTTGATATAAGCTTACAGAACTTTAAAAAGCCTTCAGATATATTTTCTCACCGCAAATAGAAAGAAAACGTTCCGAAGAATATTTAGTTATAAATTTGGCTGTAGAAAGAAAACTATGAGCGATTTTGTTGTTTCGAGGAGTTCATCTTTGAAAACATGCGCGCCGGAAGCCGGCTTAAAACATAAACTTAAGCTTTACGCTTAAAGACTCAGGATTTTTTGAGACACTATAATACATGTCTTCGTGAATGAAAATTGTTGTCTCTGTAAATGTTTCACCGAATTATATTTCTTTCATTGATTGTTAGTAGTCTCTCTTGCAATTTTAATCGCTTGTCCGTGCCGTTTGTTTTCATCGTTCATGAACATCGCTTGCAGGAGCACTCAAAAATGTCGCGCGTATCAAACGCTTTATAAGATTACACATCGTTATAACTGAAACCATTAAAAAACGAAAAATAATAATAATTATAAATTCGTTATTATGTTGAAGCGTAACTCTATTAAAGTTCATTCAAACACTCGACTACACTGATAGCTCGCACTATAGAAATGAGAACCGGCTGGCCGTATGGGTGATTTTGGAAATGTTTTGAACGGTTTCGCTTAAAGCCCACAATTGATCGTCCTGAATATTGAATGAGTGCAAATTGTCTTGAAAATTTGTGAAATACCGCATTCTGTCCGAGGTCTGTATGATAAATAGTACTGTTTCACCTCAGATGTGATGTATAAAAATTATAAAAGGTTGCTTTACACACCCCCAGATTTGTTGGCAAGAATTTGTGAAGTAAACCCAGTCGAACGCAAAAAAATTCGGCCTGATTTGTTTTCCAAGAATTTGTTTTCGAGGCCTATGATCTTGAATGTGATCGAATATATTTGCTATTTTTTGGGTGTACATATAAGGCTATCAATTCGGTGTAAGATATTTCACTCTAAAATAACTTAGCCTTTCCCTCAAAAGTCACATGAATGTGCCCTTAAGTTAACTGATTTGTGGATTACAAGTTTATTGTATGATTTAAATTATAAATTTATTAATTGGAGCTTCGCTTTTAGCCCTGGCTAAATCTATATATTATGTCCACTTACAAATCTGCTGACAATTTGACGCGTATAGAGCTCCTCGATCTCAGGTTTCAGTTGGCCAAAGTCCCAGACCAAAGGACGCATGCTCTCTGGCAGGGAATGTACTCTGTAGACCAGGTGACGAAGAGGAATGCGCCCTGGCATAAAACAAAGCAAATAAACTTTTCTTTACTGAAAACTAAATAAGGGAGTACAAAGTAAAGATAACTAAAGATGCCTAAAGTATTTCAGTCTGTGCATGATATCTAAATTGGTTCTACTTGAACACAAAACCGTTCTGCTTTCACCCATTTTGTAACACACTGATCATGACTCTAACGTCAGTTTGATGTAGCAGGTTTCTTTTATTAGCAAAAGAAACTTTTTAAAGCTATTTTTCTTCAGCCTTTCGAAACATGACACATTATGGTAAGTTTAAATGAAGCCAAAGGAGCATTTGCTTCACATTTGAAAGCATGCCGCAAACGAAATGCTCACAACTGTCGAAGAAGCCTATGTCTTACCAAGCCAATCATGTGTTTCTTGAGTTGCAACGTGGTAACCCAGGCCAGCTGATTCCAGTTTATGGATCATTTCTTCCGTGTGTCTGCAAGACAAACAAATGTGTCAATAGCATGTATATTTGCTTAAAGATAGAGCATCGACAGGCTAGGCAGAAGTGTGCTTACTTCCTGTAAGGATTACATGCTGCAATGAACTGCAATCTTTTGAGCCCAACTCCGATTTTTCTACCGTTGACTCTGCGATCCACCATAACCTCTTTGATCATCCCTAGAGCACCTGTTGTGTTGGCCTCATCAAAGAATAACACCGTATCAATGCCATGGCTTTCGTTCTTTCTGGCCATCTTCTCAGCCTCCTCCACTTTCTTCTCAATGTCTCTGTGGGATGTTCCTCCGTGAACCTATTAAGGCAAAACAAGGAACGAATTACTGACTCTTTATCGAACGTCTTCCCTCCCAAAGCGTCAAGAGCAAGATAATGAACACTAAATGTGGAATTAAAGGTAATAGGCTCGATGATTATATTTTAGTAAGGACATGTTTTTAAGATAAAAAAGAAAACATAAATCTCCCCCCACTAAAACTTCAATTATAAAACTGAATATATGAGATTTACCATAGTTAGTGGCTTCTTACCTTCATGAGCAACATGTTCTTGGGTCCTCCGCGTCCTGATTGTAAACCACACATGTACCGTATAAGGGAGGTTTTTCCACAACCTGTCTCTCCCATTATGACCACAGGAATACCACATCTTCGAATGTATCAGTGTAAAAGAAAACACAAAGTATACTAAGACTTTGGCCAAAACTGTGACCGGGTTTTCTGGAGTTTTTTGGTCGTGATGGAGATGGAGAAGAGAAGACAACAGAACCGTGACGGTGCAGTGAAGGAGGATAGACAAGATAACCGTGGCAGTGTGATAAAGAGGGAAAGACGACAATAAAGTTGTGGTGGAGGTGGTGGAAGACGGAAGATAACATACCAGTAACTGTGGTAGGTTGGTGCACAAGAAAGAACGACGATAAAATTGTGGTGGCAGCGGTGAAAAATAACATTAGCCTCCTGGTGTGGAGGAAGGACGACAAAAAAATTGTGGGGGTGATGGCGATGGTGGACGAGGGAAGACAACATAACCACGAAGGTGGCGCTGGTGGTGGTTATGAAGAAGTGTAGACAACATAATCGGGGCTGTGCGGTGGGAAGGGAAGGACAACGACAGAAATGGTGCTGGTAATGATGGAGAGTTGAAGACAACGTAACCGTGAAAGTGTGGTTGAGGAGAAAGGACAACGATAAAATTGTGGTGGTCGTATGTGTGGTAAATAAGAATTGGACGACAATAAAGCCGTCCTGTTGCTTTTAAAGAAGGTAAAACAACATAACCGTTTCGGATTGGTGGAGAAAAGAGGACGACAACGAAATCGTAAATGTGGTGGTGGAGGAGGAGTAGGGAAAGCAACGTAACGGTGGCAGTGTGGTAGAGAAAGAGGGAAGACAATGGAATTACAGCAGTGGTAGTGGGGGAGAAAAGACAATAGAATTGTGTCGTGGAGATGGAGCAAAAGAACAAATTTGTGGTGGCGGTGTGCACATTTTTGCTGAAATCCGTAAGTACGGGCTATCCAGTGTTACTTGATTTTTTTTTTCTCACATGATTAACTGTCCAATAATTAACAATTAATTTGTCATGCAGTTGAGGCTTTAGTGCTCGTAATTTTAAATGGGGCTATTTGAGTGTGAAGTTAATCACACATTTCTCATGTCTCATTTTAAAGGATTTCACTTACCTGAAGCGCATGTGGATGGCTAAAATTTTCTTTAAATTGTCCGTGGTTAATTCATATGAATCATCCGGATCATTGGGCCATTTAACACCCATCACTCCACAAAGCTTCTCGATTTTCTCTCCCCTAAGTTAAACAAAAACAACGCATTAACCTTAGCCCATCATGGTACAAGAAAACACGTTGTAAGAAACTTGGTACAGAAGCATCAAAGTCTACAAATATCATGTCAAATAAATATATATATGTTTCATACTTGCTCCAGGATTCGTAGTTACTTTCCATGTCAACCTTTTGGATGAAAAGACCAGTACGTAAATCCCCTGACATCAAATTAGGCTGGATGATAACATGGCTGTCTGGATCAATTAAATTGCCATTTTGGTCAATATGGAAGCCAACAAACGTCATGGTAACGCCATCTTGATTGAAGAAAATGTAGGGATGTGAGCTGTTGAAAAAAATTAAAATACATCAACAAAAATAAAAGAAAAAATGCGAAAGGAATGATAAAATTTACAAATCGCAGACAACCGTTGTAAAAGTAGCATAGAAAATACCACAAATTTTACTTTTTCGTCTTAACAGGAACGTCATAACTTGATAAGACTTTAAAACTACAAAACACGAATAGTACCAAAGAGATAAAATAACTGGGAAAATTGATTTAAAAAATCGAATACTTTGACTTAAGCGACTCCCCCTTTAAATGTATCTTAACTTTACCAATTACGTTTTAAAATCATACCTGAATTCCCAGTGTCTTCTTAAAGACAACTGAACAACAGCTGCGTCATCATCAGCAACATCGTCATCATGTTTAACATGGGTTTCGACAGGTGTATCACAACAGTTTAGAGATGGCGTGGCAAAATCCTTAAAAAAAAGAAGTTCATTACAGGGACAACGAATTGCCACGAACTTGAAGATGTCAGTACAATAGGGACAACACTAAATTTTGGGCTCTTTGGTTCATAAATTATGCATACTAACCACCTTAAGGGTTTGGAAATGGGGAGAAAAGGCAGAAATGTTAGCTACCGTAAATAGTCTATTAAGCCCCCTCCTCTCTTCTCAATGAACTACCCCCTCTCTAATAAGTCCTTCCTTCTCAGGAGAAGATAGTTGGTAAGAGCCCCTCTTTTTTAAGCCCCCCTCCCTCCCCTTGTTATCATTCACTAATAAATAATAGACTGTATTAATCAATAGCGACAGTAAAACTCCGTGTGGACTGATCCAGACTGGACGTTCGGATTTGTTTTCGATCCTCGGCTGCATGACCTTCAACTTCTTGTACTTGAGCTTTTCCACTTTACACGGTAGTTCTTTATGGAGATTTGATACCATCTTCTTTGCTTAAACTAAATATGTAGCCCCCACGTCCCAAATAAGGCCCCCCTCCCCTCTCAAATGTGTTTGAAATAAAGGAGCCCCCCTGGGGAACTTAATAGAGGATTTACGGAACCCTAATGTCACTCTCTCAATGCTTCGTTGAGGAACATAGTCAAGATGTTACATTGATTTCCGGAAAAAAAATGTTTGGTTCAAAATAAACCCAAATGAAAACAGGGTTGAAAAAGAATGCCATACCGAAAATCTTTAAGACATGGAAAAGATCGGCAATCTAGTTAATATCCATGTCAAATAATAATTCACTGTATATAACATAGATGGCGCCCACCGCCTTCCAGATTTCAGGCTCTGTTTCCAAGGGTTTGGGTGGGTAGCATTTAGGTCCTGGGAACTGGGCCACATATTCTTCGCGATCGCACATTTTCCATATTTCTTACCCGTGACATAAGGATCATGAATTGGACCACAAAGCTTCTAAAGCCCTTGAGAGTGTCTCCAACAAGTTCCATGTTACAAAACGCACTCTCTTCACAAGCTTGGAGCTGAGAGTTGAGGAAGTTCACAAAATGACGGAGTTCAGCCCATGACGGGTCCACAACGCCACAATTTCTGAAAAAAGTGCATAAACGATCACTAAATCCTTCTCATTTCATTGGTAATATAGCTGTTCACTCTATATCTCTCATAGGTATCACTACAATTGCCGAGGCAAGTAAGATTATTTTTCGAAATGATTGTTTTGCTGTTCTTGTACTTTTATAGCGCGAGCAGGACTCTAGAGTAAAAGCCTTGTAAACTGAGAACTCGTGTTTATTGAAAAGGAACAGTTTCTTTTTACACTGTCACTTTTGACACCACCCACGTATGTCAAATCCAAACTCAAGCTACAAAACCAAGCTACAAATGAACTTATATTATGACCTTACAAAGGCTATTTTGAAATCCCCTCTATTCGTGGACGCACGAAGACCTAATAGCCAAATTCGGCCATTCTTGAAGAAATGGTGAAAAAAGATTTTTATATAGAGTGTACCTTACAAGTATGTCAATACACTCTGCATGGTCACCCATCACCTTAGTTGGTATAAACGAGAATTGGTTTGGTTTCTCCCTTGCTGACTCCCAAAACCTCAGATACTGAAACGCCCGTTGAACATGTGAGTTTTGAAATTCACCATTGTCAAACAGAGGGTTGAGACTAATACCACCTACGGAAAAGGAAAGCGAAAAAAGTTATGGTGTGAGTGAATATTGCTGTCATTTTTAGGACACCAAATCCCTCGAATACGTTTGAAAAAATTCAACTAATTCCATGAGTAGATGTACGTTGATCAGTCTAGAGAATTTGCATGTGAATATTGGGGATTAAGGAGATTCTAGTATAATGTACAAGTTATAGTCGAAGGATTCCCATCGACACTGCTGATTCTGCAATTGTAGCAGGAATGTGAAGACGAACCTAGTAGAAGAACCAGGTGGCGTATCTTTTCCCGTGCAGGACTCGGATCTTTCAGTCATACAAACTTTCTTTGTGTTTATACAAATGTAGTACCAATAACAGTAAAATTAAAATGAAGCACGACGGATATCTTGTTCAATCAAACCAATGGCAGCTCAAACAGAAAGGAATATGTAATTACAAACTAGAATTTCTTACCCATTTTCTGAGTCCTCAACTGACTCAACGTTCGTAATGGTGTTTCACATTCAATGGAAGGAAGCAGCCTGTAAAAAGGCTCTGCTTTGACTTTTCGAACGTCGCGCTATTGAAAAAACATAAATTTAGCGATTCAATGCCTTCCCTCACTAAACTCTTCTACTATCTTCTACTATCTCTTCTACTATCGTATCATAGGTCAGAAGAATGAACGTCAGACACGACACTCTGCTCTCCGGCTTTTTACTCGCGCGGTTCCTTTTTGGTGAGCATCTATAGTAGAAATGACTCGGGAGATAGCTGTCTAATATCTGAGAGACGGTCCTGGGCTATTTTTCACGTTGGAAACTGGCAAGAAAACCCTATAATTTGGCATTTTCAAGAATTATCGTTGACACCTTGGACCTTTCAAAACAGTGAATTTTACGAGTGTATTGTTTTACCGTGGAACAACAATGGCAAAGCTGTCACAACTGTGTACCCAACGGGATCTGTGTTGAACAGAGGAGCCTTTGTCTTCTCCATCAAGAAGATATCTAGGCGGAGCAAGAGCCCTTGTGCATATTATGCTAACAGCACCGCAACATTTCACCCGCTGTTAGAAGGAGATTTAGTTTTCAAACTAAATCCTGGTCCCTCACAACAAGGCGTTAACACTACTCACTTGGGACAAGCTTCTAAAGCAAAGTGTCGGTCAGCTCGTAACACCTCCAGTCTTATTGAAATTAAACCGGCTCCACTGAATAAAACACCAGGCAATAGTCGACTGTTGTCGTTTTGTTTAATAAATGCGCAATCAGTTAGAAATAAGACGGCAGACTTTGTTGACTATATGTGCGAAAACAAATACGATCTCGTCACAATTACCGAGACCTGTCTACAAAAGAGAGATGATGCAGTCAGAGTTGAACATCGCCCAACTGGTTATAAGCTAATAGACCATCCTCGCTCGAGAAGGGGCGGAGGGGGCATAGGATTACTCTTCCGTGACTGCTTAAGAGTTAATACCGTCAGATCTGCTGAGAAGGAGGCCATCGATTATTGTGAGCTACTTGTACAACTGCCGACATCTTGCAAGCTCAGGATCATTATTGCTTATAGAACACAACCTTCGGAAAACCACAGGGTTCCCAGGAGCACCTTGTTAAAGGAGTTCGCTGATTTAATGGAATGTGTTATCTTATCAAAGGAACGCTTGCTTGTCCTTGGGGATTTCAATATCCACGTGGACGTTCCAAATGGTATCGACGCGGTGAAGTTCCTTAATCTACTTGAATCGCTTGGGCTTGAACAGCACGTTACCGAACGGACACATATTTGGTCACAGGTTAGATCTCATTATCACGAGGAGAACTGAGACACTGCTGGGGTCAACTCCACGCAGTTGTCGCTAAATCTCTCATCATTCGGCTGTTTGTTGTAGTATTCGCATAAACAAGGCTCGCCCAAGAGGGTGACTTATAGGAAGACCAAGTCTGTTGATCTTGACTGCCTCAAGCAAGATATCGCGAAGTTAGATCTGTGCCTGCAAGGCATTGTTGGGTGTCCATCCTCTTGTGAAGATTTTGACAAGTTTATACAAAGTTACAACTCCACCCTAAGCACTATGCTAGATCGCCATGCACCACTGTAACCAAAAGTAGTGAGTTCAAGGCCCCAGGTCCCCGGGTACAACCAAGAAATTGCCGAGGCGAAAAGAAAGCGACTGAAGGCTGAGCAAACGTGGAGAAAGGCAAAGTCCGCTGAAGACCTGCTGCTGTGGCTGTGGCAAATGACATTGCCCGCTATTTCCATCGTAAGATCCTTAATATCCGCAATGAGCTAGACGGTATCGATGTTACCCAGAACAGATGTAGTGACCTGATTGACGACCCTGCTTTCAGCTCAAATCTCGAACCACTACGTGTTTTCAAGGATCTATACCAGCTCATTCAGGCTTCAGCTAAGAAAAGTTGTATGCTCGATCCTTTTAAGACGTCTGTCTTACTGGGCAGCCTTGAAGAACTCCTCCCAATAATCACTTCTATGGTTGATTGTTCCTTGGCTCTTGGACACTTTCCAGCTGCGTGGAAAGCTGCTCTAGTTGATCCGCAGCTCAAGAAACCTTGTTAAAGCTACTCCCTTTCAAATCTTAGACCCGTGAGTCGAAGCTTACGGAGAGAGCAGTGTACAACCAAACCCAATAGCATTTAGTGCGATCAGAGCTGTACCCAACGCTCCAGTCAGCCTATCGAGCAGGCCACAGCACGGAGACGGCTCTCCTTAAGGTAAACAATGACATCGTGCTTAACATGAATCACCAGAGGGTCACTCTACTAGTGCTGTTAGACTTGAGTTCAGCATCTGACACTGAAGATCATGAAGTACTTCTCCGTCGTCTAGAGGTAACTTTTGGCATTGCAGATACTGTACTTCAATGGTTCAGATCCTGCCTAGCTGGTAGATCACAGCATGAATTACTTAATGGGAGCTTCTCAGAGGATTTCTCTCTACCTCAAGGTGTACCGCAAAGTTCGTGTCTGAGGCCGCTGCGTTTTTGTAATTTATGCCAGCAAGCTATTTGAGGTAGTGGAGCGCCACTTCCCAGATGTTCGTGCATACGCAGACGATAACCAGTTATATATCTCATTTAAGCCTGGTTCTAGTGCGAGTGAATTGGAAACGGTAACTGCCTTACAAGATTGCATTCTAGACATCAACACTTGGATGACGGCTGACAAACTTAAGCTAAATGATGACAAAACGGAATTAACTGTAATCGGAACCCGCTCGCGGTTGGACAAGATAAGCATATCAGAGCTCAGCATTGATCACAGGAAGTGTCTGCAGTATGCAACGTTCGGAACCTAGGGACGTCGTTCGACAACCATCTGAGCACGAAAACCGCCATCAACAAGACTTGTCAATCAGGACTTTACCATCTGCATAATATTGGGCGCATTAAACGATATCTTAGCTTTGAAGATAGAGTCGATTGTTCAGGCAATTCTGATATCGAGAATAGACTATTGTAATAGACTATTGTATGGTGTTGCCGCTACGAACCTTAGCAACCTCCAACGGGTGCAAAACGCGGCAGTCCGATTGGTGTGTTCATTGCCAAGACAAGAACACATCACATCGTCATTTATACGTCTTCACTGGCTGCCGATTAAACTTAGAGTCAATTTCAAGATTGCTATGCTCTATTTTAAGTGCATTCATCGGCCAATTATCAAAAAAGCATGGTCGCCATCAAGAAGACTTCGACATACAACCTCCGCTCGAGCACCAGTATCCAGTTGGAAGACCATTCACGACGATCGAAAAAAACGCTTGGCGATGGAGCCTTTTCCTATGCATCCGCCAAGATTTGGAACAGTCTCCCGCAATCATTAAAGTCACAGCAAAATTTCAACACCTTTAAGACGTTGCTTAAAACTCACTATTTTAGAGAAGCGTTTAATTTATAATTTCTTTTTAGTGTTTCATATAGTATACATCTTCGCATTTTATTGTAAATTCAAAATTGTAAATAGGTAACATAGTAATCTCGTATTCAATTGTAATATGTAAAGCGCATTTGATCATATCCTCCTGTATGTTAATTTGCGCTGTATAAATATTAAATCTTATCATTATTATTATATCACTTCAGCTTTTAAAAAAATGACTTTACCAGTGAAACAAAGATCTTGTAAACTCCCACGAGCCACTTACCCAGTGGTCTTAATGGCATTTTTGAATAGGGCTAAGTTGGCGGCTAACCAAATAACCGCAAAGACCCTAGCATGATTGACCACAAAAATGAAATATTTAAAAGATAAAGAAAAGATAAGCAAACGCGACATCAATGTAAGCTATCGTCCAGAAAGTCTTTTTAAAGATTTAAAAATCGGTGCAATAAAAATATAAAAAACGCTCTTCATTAATCGGTTCTTCCCTTGAGAAATAAGATAAATGCACCCACAGTATCTCTTAGGCCACTCTGATGATGGCTTAACGACTAAGTGAAACCTACCTTAGAAAGTTCCGTTCGCCTTTGGACGGTTTCATTGACCCCTTGCTTTGGCCCCGTCGTTACCTCAACCACATACAAATCAGATAATCTTCGTCTCCAGACCTGTCCACTACTACTTTTCAAGACACCAAGTATCAAGAGATTAAACAGAAGTGCGTCAAGACCACTCTTCACCTGTCAAAATACAACCATCACAAGGATGGTACGGTCACTTAATAGATAGGAGCTAATCAGATCTTAAGCATATCTTCCTATTGATTGGCAAGTGTGTTCAGTGCATTTTTGTGGGATAAAAATATTTTGTGCAATTCAAACATTTCTAAGATCGTAGCTATCTCAACCCTTTTTAATACGTTTTTGTGATATACATTCATTTAAAGTACGCTTAAACATATTGTCTAAAAAAGCATTTAGTACCGACGGATGGACATCAAGGTGAAAAATTCGGGAAAGTGGCAGATCAGGAACAATCATATGCGGTAACAAGGACTCCACAACGGAGCACTGATCAACAGCTGGTCCATAAATTGGGACGCTGATACACAGAGGCATATCTGCCTCCCCATCTCTGAGGTAACTCAATACTGCATCATTGTCTCCAAGTTGAACTAAGCTTTCACTAAGTCGCCGAACCACCAAGCTCTTGCCGCAACCTGCCCTTTCTGAGGATACAACTCTCACTGATAACCTGTATGGGATAAACGGAATGTTCCTTTTAGAGATAGGAAACACAAAGTTCAATTTAGACATTACAAGACACACTTGTAGTTGATCCTGTTTGGCCTGTGTTTTGTAAAAGGAGGTGGCGGTGGTCACTCAAATGTCACTTTCATGGGTTGAGGCTAAAAACGCTGGTGTATAAGATGGTGTTGGCAGTGGTGCTATTGACGCGGCTGTTGCTGCCGAGATTAGGGAGCTTAAGCAACGACGACGTCGACGTCAACGAGAACGGCAAAAATGCAATAGGTTCAACTAGCAAAAAACAACTTTTCACGTGCATCACGCTTTTTTGTACATTTCTTTACCGTCACTGCTTGACTGCGATGTGAAAATGCCTATTTTCACGTTTTCTGGAAAACGTAAACACAAGACAACGACTTTCTTTTTCTTTTCCTGAACTTCGATACAGTCTTTTAGAATTCAACTCAAGTAAAAACAGCCAACGTTAGGCGAATTGAACCCGAGGCAAAACTCGCGACAAAGTTTGAGGCAGCGCACCTTCACTTTTTAAGTGACGTTTTCCTAGCCGTCGCCGTCGTTGTTGCTTAAGCCCCCTATTAGTAGCAGTAGTGTTTGGTACTGTAGATGACAGGACCGTCGGCTATGTTATGTTGTTGGTGATATACTTGCCTTACAATATGCATTGTGTTGGAGTTGTTGTCTATGGTAGCGGTTTTTTTGGTGCCATTGGTAGTGGTCGGAAGAGTGGCTGGTGCTGTCCATTATGGTGTTGCTAGTGAAAATGAGGGGCCGATGCAGAGTCGCTAATTTTACCAGCTGTTGTTGTTGGATTGTTGTTGTGATGTACGTAGTGATAGTGGAGTTGGTGCTGCTAATGGTGGAGATAGCGTTTTAGGTGGTGCTGCTGACATTATCTACGTTCTGTTTAATTGTGCGCATTTCTGGATTTCCTTATCTTAAATTTTAATAGCTTTTGGCCAATGGATACCCGGTAATTAAAACTAAATAGGACTCCTCGCATACAAAGGTCTTTCGACCCGGGTTTGGCTTTAAGGTTGATTTCCACTGACGCGTCTTTTGCTCCGCACGTTAACGTACGTAAATTTTAATCACGTGAATAGAATAGACGCAAGATATAAAGTGTTGAGATTGAACGTGAAGTTGAGCGAGTTTCCACTTTTACGCTTACGAGCGACCGTTCATGCTTTACCTCTATTTTATTTGCGAACGTAAATTTTACGCACGTATGCACGTAAAAAAATACGCCGCAGTAGAAATCAACTCTTTGGGTCACAGAACTCACAGAAAACGTAGTCACTAAAAAGGTGCATTGCAAAGAGAAAGAAAGTGCTTTTTTCTCTCCTTACTTTTCCTTGTCCACCATGGCAGCAGGTTCCCATTGAAGGATCTTATCTTGCAGCCTTCCTTGTAGACGAGAGCACACCTTGAATTGTGTCTGCAGATATTGCCTGATATCTTTTGATGCAGCACAATATGGAATAGTTCTAAGTCTGTACTGATCAAGTGCTGCAGCCATATGAGCTCTCTCTTCATTCTCAGAACTACAGATAACCACAAGGGACAGCCCTAAAATGAGAAAATATTCACTGAACTACAATTTCGCCAAAAAAAGATGAAATTATTGTTACTAATTCTTTCAGGCGAAAACTCTCTTTGCAAAAGGGGGGAATTTCGTATATACCATGATGCATCGCTTCACACTACATTATCAAGCTTCTGAACGCACGTGATCCTATCAGTTCAACAGGGACGTGACAGTTCAACAACGGTGGAAAGCGACTTGTTTTGCCGATAAAACTCTCTGTACCTTTGCTGTGTCGATCTATTTACGATTTTAGTTTTATTGTTCCAAATATATCACTTGTTAAGTCAAAGAGAGTATTTTGACCGCCGATTATGAGTTAACTAGCCTTACAATGGGCAGTCTACGAAAATGCAAATGTTCTTAGAAGCTAGCGAGGAAGGTCTTTGCTTCATTACATCCTGTTTTAACGTGCGTTGATAAAGCTCTCCATGGATTAACAAGCGATTTCCACGTACTTGTCATGAAATAAATACATATTCTAGGTGTGAGATTTCTCTTCGTTGCTTGTTTGTGATTGTCAGTTCAATAATTCAACGATGCAGTACATCAACCGTACGGTGTACGGTGATCGCACATGCTTTAACTTCAACAAGCTCGGCTTATGCAGTCGAAAATACCGAGACCGTTAACGTACAAAGTGACGTCTATCGGAGATAAAATTCAAAGGAGGGGAACAGCTCCAACAAACAGTGAAAATAACAAAGACATCTCTATATTTTACGTAACGCAACACCAGCTAAGTATCATTGCCAACATAAACAGAAAAAAGCTTTATTAAGAAATGGCAAAATACATATACAAAAACACCCACTTCATCGCTACAATGGATCCTAAAAGAATTATCAAAATGTCTTTAAAGGTTTTATTCGCCAGTTGAGGTCCTACGGCATCCTATTCCATGCCATTTGCTGGCCTGTATATTTCAAGTTCGCCACGCGCGGTTGCGACCGGAAGCCACCATAAGAAACCAGTTTTACCTAAAATAATGAGACAAAAAAGCTCTAATACTGTAGTGTATTAAAACCGGATGTTTGAGTTAACCGGAAGTTTATGTATTGGACATCCCACAATACCATGCGTGCTCGGTTACGAGTGTTGGAAGACCAGACAAGCGTGTTGAACTTATGTTCGGTTTTTGTTGTAATCTTATAACATCGTGATTATAAAGCATTAAAATACGGAATTTAACATCTGGCGACGAGGATGGGATGGTAAAGGACACCTTCGTGAAAGTTTTAAACGAGATTTGCATTCGTTAGGAGACGTAGTTTGGTGTGATGCCCGGGGGATCGGATGAGACAGGAAATTCGGCGAGTGCTGCCACTAACAGTGGAGTTGTGACTCCGGTAGCTGTAGAAGTCGGTGGTTTACAGCCTTTTCAAGTGAAAGGGGATCCGCACTCCATTTCACAGCGTTGGAGAAAATGGAAAAGAGCTTTCGAGTTATACGTACTGGGAAAAGGGATTCACAAGTGACTCGCAGAAACGTGGCCTTTTGCTTCACACGGCCGGCCTCGAGGTGCAAGACGTTTATTTTACTCTCGTGCCTGGTGGTGAAGATAAGGATTACCCCGCCACACTTAAGGTACTAGATGATTACTTTATTCCTAAAGCTAATGTACCTTTCGAGAGACACTTGTTTCGCCAAATTACTCAAAGTAGCGAGGAGACTGTTGGTCAATTCGTCTGTCGGCTGCGACAACGCGCAGCCTCGTGTGACTTTGGGGAGCGGGAGGACGAGTACATCAGAGACCAGTTAATTGATAAATGTTATTCTGCGAAGTTGCGTCGAAAGTTCCTTGAAAAAGATGGCAGTGTTACTCTGAATGATCTCTTGAAAACTGCTAGAGCTCAGGAAGCAGTTGATTTACAAATGGTGGCAATGGGAGGGAACGCTAATTCAGAGCAGATCAATAATGTCACTGATACTGGGTTGAATAGAAATGATGACAGGAGGAGTTGTTTTAACTGTGGCCGGGATGATCATTTTGCTAGGGATAGAAGATGTCCTGTAAGGGGTCGTAAATGCGACCAGTGTGCAGAAATAGGTCATTTTAAAGTGAAGTGTCGGAGAGGGACATTCCAAAATTTTCAGCAGTGGGAAAGACGAAGTATCACTAGCGGAGGTAAGAAAGTTGAGCCAAAGATAACTGATAGCGGCAAGAAGACAAACACAAATTATGTAGATGGTGATGGCGATAGAAGCGAAAGGTTAGAACAGGATGAAAGACCCAACACTGGTCCCGAGTATGTGTTTTCTGTAGGAGATGATACACGACAGAGTAATGGAGTAGTAACCCTACGTGTTGGAGGCATCCATTTGCCAAATGTTCTAATTGACTCTGGTGCGACAAGCAACCTACTAGGCAAACCAACGTGGGAGTGGCTTAAGTCTCAGAGAATTCAGTGCAAAACCCGCAAAGATGCCAAGGTTTTATTTGCATATGGGAACACTAAACCATTACCAACCTTAGGAACATTTACTGCCCATGTCATGTGTACTGACACTAATGCTACTGTTGAAGCTGACTTTGTGGTTATAGATGGAGATGGCAGGACTCTATTGTGTCGAGACACAGCGGAAAAACTAAACCTATTACGTATTGGACCCATCCATTCTGTGAACAGTGTTGAGGTAGAGACCACAGATCAAGACATAAGGGACAAATACAAGGAACTGTTTACTGGGGTGGGTCTCTTGAAGGACTATGAGTTGAAACTTAACGTTGATACTTCTGTAAAACCGGTTGCACAACCCGTCCGGAGAATCTCATTTGGTGTAAGGGAGAAAGTGGAGAAAAAGTTAGATGAGTTGCTGACTTGTGGGATCATAGAAGAAGTACCAGAGGGACCAACCAGTTGGGTCTCCCCGCTTGTTGTTGTACCCAAACCAGATGGTGATGTTAGAATCTGCGTTGACATGAGGCGTGCCAATCAAGCAATCATTAGAGAACGTCAGCCTATCCCCACAATTGAAGAAGTCCTCCGAGACTTGAATGGCAGCACAGTATTTAGCCGTGTAGACCTGAAGTGGGGGTTCCATCAGATACTTCTTGCAGAGGAGAGTAGGCATGTGACAACATTTGTGACTCACCGCGGTCTTTACAGATACACCCGTCTCATGTTTGGGGTAACCTGAGCACCCGAAAAATATGAACAAATCATCCGGGATGTATTGCGTGGTTGTGGAGGGGTCATCAATATTGCGGATGACCTAGTTATTCATGGTAATGGTGTTGAGCAGCATGATGAGAGGCTTTTTGTTGTGCTCAATCGGTTAAAGGAGGTGGGTTTGACATTGAATGGGGACAAATGTGAGTTCAGGTTACCAAGGTTAACATTCTTTGGTCATCAAGTGACACAGAATGGGGTAGAACCTAGTGAGGAGAAGGTTGCTGCAATCCGGAATGCAGATCCACCACAGAATGCCAGCGGGGTACGATCATTCCTGGGTCTGGCTCAATTTGTGTCTAAGTTCATCCCAGACCTGTCCACTGTTGCAGAGCCTATCCAGAGACTAACTCACAAGAATGTGGAGTTTAAATGGCAGTCGGAACAACAGGCTGCATTTGGCAAGTTGAAGGAACTGATCACAAGTACAACTGCATTAGCTTACTTTGATGTGAACAGTAAGACAAGGATTGTGGCGGATGCATCGCCTGTTGGTTTGGGTGCGGTGTTGATTTAGTTGCAAGGGGTTCAGTGGAGGGTTATTGCTTATGCTTCAAGAGGTCTGACAGATGTAGAAAGGAGGTACAGCCAGACAGAGAGAGAAGCCGTGGCACTGGTGTAGGCTTGCGAACGCTTTAACATATACATTTTTGGAAGGGATTTTGAACTAGAAACAGATCATAAGCCGCTGGAATACATATATTCACAGAAATCAAAGCCTTCCGCTCGTGTAGAACGTTGGGTTCTCCGCTTGCAAGCCTATGCCTTTAAGGTCATCTACAGGCCAGGAAGAACCAACATTGCAGATGCGTTGTCAAGGCTGAATCGTAGAGTACCCTGTGGTGAAGGAGAACACCATGACTATGTTCGCAGCGTAGTTGAGAATAGCACTCCTTGTGCTCTGACACCCTCGGAGATTGAGAAAGCTTCAGCTGCAGACCCAGAAATAAGCCTTGTGAAAGAATGTGTGCGTACAGGAGACTGGAGTGCTTGTACTATACCCGCCTATTTACACGTCAAGAATGAACTGTGTTCTTATGGTCAGTTACTGCTGCGTGGTTCGAGAATTGTAATTCCCCAAGTGTTACGGGAGCATGTCCTGAAATTGGCTCAGGAAGGACATCAAGGAATTGTGAAAACAAAGTGCAGGCTGCGTAGTAAGGTGTGGTGGCCGAAAGTAGATGCGGATGCGGAAAAATTATGCAAGAGTTGTCATGGCTGTCAAGCTGTCAGCGAATATTCCGCTCCAGAACCTATGGCACGAGCTTACCCACCGAGCGGACCGTGGCAAGATTGTGCTCCAGCTGCAGACATATTGGGTCCTTTACCCTCCGGAGAGAATTTACTTGTTGTAGTGGACTATTATAGCGGATATTTTGAAGTAGTTATCCTGAGGTCAACTACAAGCACAAAGGTCATCAACAGCCTCCAGCCAATATTTGCCCGTTTTGGAGTTCCCCACACACTTAAAACGGACAATGGTCCTCAGTTCATTTCAGAGGAGTTCAAAGCCTTCCTTGCGGAAAACGGAATAGAACACCGAACAACTCCCCCTCTGTGGCCCCAAGCGAATGGGGAGGTAGAACGTCAAAACCGCACTTTGTTGAAAGTGATCCAGGTAGCTCAAATTGAAGGAAAAGATTGGCGACAAGAGCTTCACAAATTTTTAACTGCGCACAGGTCCACTCCCCAAATGACAACTGGTGTAGCACCATTCTTCTTAATGTTCGGGAGAGAAATGCGGTCAAAGTTACCAGAGTTGAGACGTGAGGCACCCATCACCAATGAAGAAATCCGTGACCGAGACTGGGCAAGAAAGCTGACACAGAAAGATTATGTGGACACAAAGAGACATGCAGTTGAGAGTCAAGTGGAAGTTGGAGATCAAGTATTATTGAGAAACACCAAAATAAACAAACTGTCTCCAAACTATGACCCCAGTCCTTGTGAAGTCATAGACAGAAATAGAGAAGTCACATTAAAGAAGAAAGATGGTGTGGAAGTAAAACGGAATGTGTCATTTGTTAAGAAATACCAGGAGAATGGTACTGCAGAATCAGAATCAGTGGTACCACTTCAGCCAATTGCTAACCCATTAGAATCAGCGACACCACTTCAGCCAATTACTAGCGAGCCAATCGCTAGCCAGCCAGTTGCTAGCCCAATTTCGGTGCAGCAGACAGTTAACCCAAGTTCACCTATGCTTAAAGCAATCCCGAGACCAACTCGAACTATTAGACTTCCTAAACGATTTGATGATTATGAACTGCCAAAGGCTTGACTGGACTTTGTCGCTGGTGGAGCGTCTTACAGCTGTACCCTGTTTATCATGTTATGGAACTGAACTTAATTTCTTTATCCAGTATTTAAGTCTTCGTTCTCGTTTCATTGTGGACTTTTCATTACAAACAACAACAACAACAAATTTTATTGAAAATTGGAAAATAACTAATTACATTACTTTCCCACCCGCAAATAGCTTATGAACTAATCGAGGCGGGGGGAGCTGAAGACATATTACAAAACAAGAATTATATATAGATGGACTAAATAACAGTGAAGACACTACAATACAGTAAATAGAGTTTAAACTAACATAAAACAAAAAAACAAAAAACAAGGCATGTACATAACGATTACGAAGAGAGGTTAACTAAAGTATTAAATAACTTAATAAGACGGGAGACTTCGACATAATCATCTTCTGACCGCAAAAAATTTAGTAATAATTCCTTTATTTTTTTACGAAAGGACGAACGTTTAAGTATTTTAATCGAATACGGAATAGAGTTCCAAATTTGGGCACCGATTCTCGTGAAAAAGGCATACATTTTATCGGTTCTAGAGAACTTAACATAAAACGAGTCGCTAGAGACAGATCCTGTTCTGTAGTTATGAATCTGACTTGTTTTAACGAACTGATTGAGAATACTAACTGGTGCTGTCTGTCTGTTGATATCATACAATAAATAGCTACAATCTCTGAAAAATATGCTAGGCAGGGGAAGGCAATTTGATTTGAGAAAGAAGGGTACGGCGTGTTCCTTAGACTTACTGAAGTAAATGAGACGTAAGGCCCGTTTTTGTAGAGTTACGATCTTTCGTTGAAATGTCAAGGCACAATTTCCCCAACCACAAATACCATAAGTCAAGTAAGGGACAATTAATGAGTTGTAAACTGAAAGTAAAACACGACGCGGGACATAATGTCGAATTTTAGCTATAATTCCTATCGACTTGCTGATTTTGTGACAGACAGATTCGATGTGGTATTTCCATGAAAGATTTGAATCAATCATTAAGCCAAGGTATTTTACATAATCTTTCATTTCAAGGTTTGCGTAGGTGTTAGTCACGGAGTCAAAAATTCTAATCCTAGGTATGAAGGGCATATTCTTTTGCCGGGGACGAAAGATTACAAAATTTGATTTTTTTATGTTCAAGGACAGTTTGTTGGCCTTTAGCCATTCGTTGACGTTGCCAAGCTCGCGATTAACAAGTGTTTCGAGTTCCTTTAGGTTGTTATTTGCAAGTATTATACTAGTATCGTCAGCAAATAGATAAAAGGCAAATAACGAAGAGGACTTGTAAATATCATTGATGTACAGTAGGAATAAGAGTGGTCCGAGGACTGAGCCTTGTGGCACGCCGCACAAGGTCGTTTCAGCCTCAGACACAACATTATTAACTTCCGTAGTTTGCTTCCGATCAGTCAGGTATGATCTGAACCAGGAGTTTATTACACCTCTAATACCATAATTTTCAAGTTTAGCTAACAAAATTTCATGGTTAACAGTATCAAAAGCCTTTTTGAGATCGATGAAAACACCGCACGAAAATTTACCGTTGTCCATGTTTTGGAGAATTGTGTTAACAATATCAAGTACAGCATGCTGAGTACTGTGCTTACTGCGAAAACCGTATTGCTGATCATAGAGAATGTTGCAATCTTTGACAAACTTGGTAACTCTGGAGTACATAAGTTTTTCAAAAATCCTGTTATAAATCGAGAGCAGAGAAATAGGTCGGTAGTTTTCGGGCAGCGTGTCATCTTCGTCCTTAAATATCGGGATAATCTTAGCACACTTTAGTTTAGATGGAAAAATCCCTGAGCAAATAGACTGATTAAAAATCGTGGCTAGAGGTACGGATATGACCCTTTTGCTAATTTCAGCAGCCTAACGGGAGATGAGTAGAGACCATGGGCCTTGTTGTCTTGCAAAACTGAAATTTCTAAATTGATATCTTCCGGAATAATAGGATCAAAGAAGAAAGTGCGATTAAGTGGCGGATCTAAATAATCATAGAATGTATTTATGGTCTGAGGAATTTTAGAAGCCAGTTTGCTCCCAACAGTGGCGAAATATTTGTTAAGAATATTGCTTATTTCCTTCGGGTCACTAGTTGGAACCTCATTCGGGTTTGAGCGAATAGAGTTAGTTGAGTTGCGCTTGTTTTTCTTTTTACAGTTTCCAATTAGCTCGTTAATTCCTTTCCAAGTTTGACGCATATTACATATGTTGAGATCAAAGAAAATCTGTCAAGTATTCTAGAAACTCATTAGCGTTATTGTGTTGCCTATAAGTAACACCACATACAGATTTCTTATTGTTAGGCAGATGAAGTTCAATCCATAGGGCTTGATAGCAAGAATTGGAGACTCGTTCAAGGACGCGGTATTTACAATTTTGATCAATGAACAGGCCAACACCACCGGCAGATAAAGGTGTTGGGACCGATTGAAAACAGTATCCTGGTAATTCTGGTACAAAATTAAAACTACATTCACGATCGCATATACGAGTTTCTGTAACACCAATAATAGTAAAACGGAAATTCATTTCACTTAAAACATGATGTTGAAATTCTTCAAAATTTTTCTTTAAGCTACGTATATTTGTATGTAAAAAGGAGATTTTTGATTGCAACTGTTTGCTGTCAACAAACTGCGCAAAGCTGTGTGGGGAATAATATTTTGAGCGTATTTTGTTTGAGGTGAGATTTATATCAGGATCTATATGTTTATCAAGAGAGTTTAGCTGGAATACACTAAGGTCGTAGAGACTACTGAGAGAATCTAGCAATTTTCTAGAAGGTCGATTATCATCAATTAAACTATTAAACTGTGGGTGGGCAGAAGTCAGGACTTT